CTGTCACGGTACTGGCAGTGGTAGCTTGGCAACAAATGAATGCGCTATGCCTGCCATTACAATTGCCACAGCGCGGTTTGCCAGCTGAGCACTCAGCGGCCCGGTGTCCGATGCCCAGACACCAGTAGCAGGCTCCAGCGCGCAGCAGGCGGTTTCTCCGTTCTGTCAGTGTCCAGCTCTTGGCCCTACGGCACTCTTCGCCCAGATGTGGGAAGTCGCAGAAGGGACAGTGATGCGGCGTTTCTTGCAGAGAGGCACGTAGTGCTGTGGCCGAACCATGTGGACTGTTACGACGGGGTGGCGGCGGCACCCGGCGAGCAGACTGGCCTTTCTCCGCGCTGCTCTTGCAGAGGCTGTAGAAGGAGCATTCGTGCGCATCCGTGAAAGTTTCCGCGTACGCAGCCAGCTCGCCAAGCTCGGTGGTGCCCTTCTCTTTCAGGTAAACTTGTAGCTGACGGGGGCAGCACTCCATAAACTGCTCCTGTACTAGCAGATCACACAGCCCTTCATAGGAGCGTTCGGTGCCCGTCATGTCCGTCCACCCAGCGTTTAACATACGCATTTAGACGGTGAATAAATTGTCCTGGTGTCTCGTTGACGTCTGGCTTTGCTTCACGCAATTTCTTTCTGTATCCCTCACCAGTTAACTCATATCTGTTCAGGAGGGCCGCTCTCAGACAATCATAGTTTTCAGCGTCTTCTTTGCTCAAGCGTGAATACGTATCCAGAGCGCGGCCGGTGAGGAGCGCGCTGAGGCTGACCGCCCACTCTTCCCGCGCCCACTGATTTGCTTCAGCTAACCGTTCGAAACGACTGAGATAGCTTCCCATATCATCCTTGCCGTCTTCAAAAGGGGGTATCTTCGGTCGGTTTTCGGTGCGTCGGTTTGCTATATCTGAACTGTGTATGTTCTCCCGTGTTGCCTGCAGCCTGATCCGCTCGATTTCCAGCTCATGTTCTCGTTCCTTTTCCCGGTTTTCTCTTTCTCTCTCTCGTTCCTTCTCTCGGTTTTCTCTTTCTCTCTCAAGTCTCTCCTTTTCCTCCTGTGTCCTTCTGTCACGTTCCAGTCTTCTTTCCTCTCGTTCATTATCTTTGTCTAGGCGTTCAGCTGCGAACTTCAAAGCCTCCTCGCCCTGAAGTCCGTACTTGGAGGCCAAATCTAGATACTTTTCCATTAGTCCAGAACTGTCCTGAGTGTCCTGCCAGGGTCGCCAATAATATGTTTCGAAATGAATACTGTATTCGGTACTTTTGTGCACAAATATCGTAAATGATCAAATAATCGGTAAAAGAAGACAACAATCTAAGCACTTTACAAGATTAAGCTCAACAATCAGCTTCAATCATTTCTCAAGAATCTACATTGTTTTCCACCGTTATTTTCACACTCCCCTTTCATAGCATTCAAAATCTCAGACTCGAAAAACACAACTCTCGCGAACCGAAGTGTGATTTAAAGAAACGGGTCCTCCATTTTCGAATCTGCAATAACCTCCTCAGCTGGCGCCAAAAGTCCATCTGAAGGCCTCAAACGGTCCTCAGCTGGAGTACACGGTCCTCAGATGCCGTCAAACGGCCCTCAAAAGCCTCAAGGAGCCCTTATAAGGTCTCAAAGGGCCCTCATTTGGCCTCAAAAGGCCCTCAGCTGGCGTTAACCGGACCTCAGAAGGCCTTAAAGGGCCCTTATCTGGTGTCAGAGGGCCCCAGCTAGTGTCAGAGGGCCCTCACTTGGCGCGAAATGGCCATCAGAAGGCCTCAAACGGTCCGTAACTGGAGTCCAACGGTCCTCAACTGGCGTCAAGCGGCCCTCAAAAAGCCTCAAAGGCCGCTTAAAAGGCAGCAAACGGCCCTCATATGACCCCAAAGGATCCTCTGCTGGCCTCAAACGGACCTCAGAAGGTCTCAAAGGGCGTCAAAGGGCCCTGAGCTAGCGTCAGAGGGCCCTGAGCTCGTGTCAAATATAAAAGCGCCCTTCGCTGGTGTCAGAAGGCCCCCAGTTGGTGTCAGGGGGCCCCCAGCTGGTGTCAGAGGGCCCTCAGTTGGCATCTACTGGCCATCAGAAGGCCCCAAACGGTCCTCAGATGGTGTCCAACTGTCCTCAGCTGACGTTCAGGCCCTCAAAAAGGTCTCAAAGACCCCTCGGCTGCTGAAGAGGCCCTTACCCTCAAAGGGAACTCAAGAGACGTTAAACGGCCCTAAAAGGGCTTGAAAGGGCCCTCTGCTGGTGGCAAAGGGCTCGCACATGACGTCAATAACAGCTTTGTCAAAAACGGACCTGAGAGACCTTGCCGGCCCCTGGTTATAAGGGACTCCTGTCTCTTGCAGTTACCTGAGTGGCCCCCGTTTACTGAGGGGCCCCTGGTTATTGAAGGAGTCCCTGGTTACTGGAAGGGCCCTGGTTATCAGAGGGTCCCCTGGTCACTTGGTCGGTCCCTGATCAATTGAAACCTCCCGATCATCTGAGCGCCCCCTGATTACCTTGGTCTTGGCGTTGCCGTACAGTTTGAGGTCGTCGGAACACTGCGGCCTCCTCTTTCTCAACAAGTCCCTCTATTTCTTCTGCAGCGAGGGCGATTTCGTCAAAATGCTCCTCCATCGCGAAGCCTCGTGCGCAGGCAGACGCAGGCTTCGGGGCGCTCGCTGCGCCAACTCTTGACGCCAACTGATGGGCTCCAAATGGAACAGATCCGAAACGAACGTGGCAATGCCGACACATGCTCTCCCCAAATTTGCAGAGGTCCCAGACAGTCTATTTGCAATAAGGGTCACTATATACTATAGACGATTGGGGTATTCGACCTTATCGACATGGCACTACGAAGATCTGCCTGCCATTTAAACCGTAGTAAAAGTGGTATTTAAACGCTACGAAAAGGCTTACGTACAAGGTAGCTCCGATGGGCCGCTCTTTCTTTTTCATCCCTCCGATTTTCTTCCGATCGAGAGAAGTTTCGTACCGAGAGAAGTATCGCAGCCACGTCCGATATAACTTACGATAGCACGGATCCCCTCAGCCTGAGATTACCCCCCTTTCTCAGGTACCTGGGTCCACCTATTCCAATATTTTCATTGTAGAATGACGTCACATAGTCTTAAGGTGCATACATATGACGCGGGGTGCCACTGATCACCATTACAAACCTAAGCAACTAGCAAGTCGCTGCTTAGCGGCAAATGTCGGAAAAGTCAAAGCTGGGACAAAACTACCCCCGAGAAACTCGTCCTGGATACGCCTCTGCGCATGCTAGAAACTCAAAAATTTGACGCAATGGGCCCAATGAATGGCAAGGAAGTCACCAAATTTCAAGCCCCTAGCTAGAGTGGTTTTCTCATTCTCACTAAAACGCAGCTCTCGTCCAGCCAACGAAATATGCTGTTTTCGTATCTATTGAAAACTTAAATGGCATGGCTTTGTTTTGTTGATTCATATCACCTTTATTTTGAGGGAGCCAATGTGTGTCAGAGTGCCTAGTTATGTCAGAGTGACATTTGGTTTTGCTTTCCATTTATTATTATTCTGATTTTTCTCGACGGATTTGTAATCAGCATGTAAAAATGCATAAGAATCGAGCCATGACGATTTTTACACAAACAATTCAAATAAGTGTACCCTCATACACCGGGGTTACATGAGAGATCCGTTCCAAATACGCACTACGCTAATGCGCATCAGCTCCCCACAAACGTATCTACGGCACCGGTTACATGAGACTAATTCGTTTTATCTACGTCAAACGGATCTTGTTTAGCTCACCCGGGCTGACTCCTCGACGGCCGGAAATTCGTATCACAAACGGAATAGGATTAGCGTACAGTCATGGCACAGTTGCGGCATTTACCGGGACGACTGAACTAAATTTTAAATACTTATATCATTTGATAGGCTCAAAAACATTTAAAATTAACATGAAATCAAAAAATGAAAACAAAGTTTTCTTGTTTTAAGTCAGTGGGCACTGATTCGCCATGCAGCGACAGCAGGGTGGTCAGAAAAAAATTATCTATCAAAATATTTCATTCATTTTATTTCACATGCAAAGACTAAACCAAAATACCAACATTTTTTTTTTGCTTTTTTCTACGAGGCAGCCAATAAAAAAATGCTTAGTATTTTGCATTTTGACGCTTCCAGTCAGCAAAGAATAGTTCTTGTGAAATACGGCCCGAATCGTGTGCCTCGGTTACATGAGCGATCCGTTCCAAATACGAACTACGCTAATTCGCATCAGCTCCCCAAGAACGCATTCAGTGCACCGACTACATGAGCTAATTCGTATCAGTGACGTCAAACGCATCTAGTTTGGCTCTCGGCCCGATGCGCATTACAAACGGAATAGCATACAAATGTGGCGCACTTCCGTAGCAATAGAGGTGACTGAATTAAAAACTTAATATCTTATGTCTTTTTTGCATTTAATCTGCTCAAAAGATTCTCAATTAACTTAAAAAAAGTTAAACATAAAGTTGTCTTGCTTTGACTCATTGAGCACTTGCCTCTCTTGATTCGTCTGTAGTGCTGTCAGAAAAATGTTTCAACTGAAAGTACTTTGATATTTTCTTTTTGGTTTTCGCTATATTTATTTTTGAAAACTTGACAAAATACCGACATATTTTTTTAATTATTATTTCAAAAGAAGCATATGAAAAAATACCTATCATTTTGCATTTTAATGTTTCTTTTTGGAAAGAAACAGTTCCTGTAATACGTATCTTGGTCCTATTCGCTTCTAAGCCTCTTTCCCTGCGGATTTTGTTCGGACCGCCGATTCGTATAAGCAGGTGGATACATGAGTCGGTAGTACGCTCCTGATTCGCATTAGCGGTGAATCCGATCGTGATACGTATTTGCTTTGCTCATGTAACCGCGGATCGGATCGCCGATTCGTACTAGCAGGTGGCTACATGAGTCGGTAATGCGTTCCTAATTCGAATTAGCGGCTAAATACGTATTTACTGTGCTCATGTAACCCCGATAATTGTGTGCAAGAGGCCAGGCTGACCTGTCAGTTGGCTGGCGGGCGTCGGGCGCCACTGGGGCAGGTTGCTGACGATGGCCTCCACCGCCTGTCCGGCGGCAATGCGGCACTCCCATGAGCTGCTTTGCAAGTACTCGTGCACCTGGAACACCGGCCGGGCGACACCGGTCAGCACCAATCAGCGGCGCACACCGCTGCTCCACCAACACTTAACCCGCGCATGACTGGGGGGGGGGGGGGCTCTACAGAGCGCCCCTTTCCTTTTTCTGCAATATCTTCTAAACCGCTAGACGTATCAGCACGAAACTTGCAGCACCTTCAGCGGCATTAATTTGACATGTTGTGTGCAAACCAGGGCGTATTTTAACATGTTAACTGGGTCGGCAATTGCCGACCCAGTCACGGAGAATGCCGACCCAGTGACAGCCGTTTGCCGACCCAGTTGCCGCCCCCTCTAGGATGCAGCACGCACATGCAGGCTAGGTGCCGTCATTCATAGTGAGGCTGCTGCCCTCCGAAATGATAATGCCGCCTCTTAAAGTGAAGCAGCCGTCTATAGAAAGTGATGATCCCACAACTCAATGTGACAGTGCCGCCCCTAAATCTGTTAGTAGTCCCACTCAATGTAGTCCCACTCAGGTGCCGCCCTTCTAAGCATCTGTGGAGCCCCTCAATGTGATGATACCGCCCCTCAAGAAGATGATGCCGCCCCTTTCAGTATCGGTGGCGCCCCTCAATGTGATGGTGCCGCCCTCAAAGGGCCGGTGGCGCCCCTGAATGTGATGGTGCTGCCCGCCAACGAGTCGATGGCGCCCCTCAAAATGATGCTGCCGCCCCTTAAAGTGTTGGCGCCGCCCCTTATAGTGTCAGTGACGCCCTTCGAAGTGTCGGAGGAACCCACTAAACTAATGGTGCCGCCCCTCTAGATATCCACATAGCCCCTCATTGTGATGGAGCCGCCCTCAAGCAGATGATGCCGCCCCTGAATGTGATGGTGCTGCCCGCCAACGAGTTGGTGGCGCCCCTCAAAATGATGCTGCCGCCCCTTAAAGTGTTAGTGCCGCCCCTTATAGTGTCAGTGACGCCCTTCGAAGTGTCAGAGGAACCCACCAATATAATGGTGCCGCCCCTCTAGGTATCCACATAGCCCCTCATTGTGATGGAGCTGCCCCTCAAGCAGATAATGCCGCCCCTCAAGAAGATGATGCCGCCCCTTTCAGTATCGGTGGCGCCCCTCAATGTGATGGTGCCTCCCTCAAAGTGCCAGTGGCGCCCCTAAATGTGATGGTGTCTACTGTCAACGAGTCGGTGGCACCCCTCAAAATGATGCTGCCGCCCCTAAAAGTGCTGGTGCCGCCCCTTACAGTGTCAGTGGCGCCCTTCAAAGTTTTGGAGGAACTCATCAATACAATGTTGCCGCCCTCTAACTTTCTGTAGCGCCCCTCCATATACATAATGGTGCCGCTTCTCAAACCATCCGTGGCGCCCCTCAAAGTGATGGTGCCGCCCCTTACAGTGTCGGTGGTGTCTCCTCAAAAGTCAAGGTGCCGCCTCTCAAAGAAATGCTGGTGTCCCTCGAAGTGTCGGAGGCGCTCCTCAATGTCATGTTGCCGCCCCTCAAACCTTCCGTAACGCCCCTCCACGTCATGGTGCCGCCCCCCCCCCCAATGTGCTCACGGCGCCCATATGTGATAGTAACGCCGGTCAAAGTGCTCCTGGCAGTGTCGGTGGCGCCCCTTATAGTGTCGGTGGCGCCCCGAACAGTATCGGTGGTGGCCCTCAAAGTGATGATGTCACCCTCAAACAAACGGTGGCGCCCTTCGAAGTATCGGAGTCCCTAAATATCATACCTATTGCCGCCCATTAACGATCTGTAGCACCCCTCCATATGATGGAGCCGCCCCTTAAAGTATCCATGGCGGTCCTTAAAGTTACAGTGCCGCCCCTTACAATGTGGGTGGCGTCCTCAAAATAAAAGTGATGTTGCCCCCCCCCCCCCCCGAGTAATGTTGGCGTCTCTTTCTTCTTTTTAAGTATCGGAGGCGCTCCTCATTGTCATTTTGCCCCACATCACTGCTCACATGGCGCCCTTCAATGTAATGGTGCCACCCCGCAACGCTCAAAGACATAATTGCGCTCCTCACAGTGTCGGTGGCCCTAAAAAAAAATTGGTGGCGCGCCTCAAAAAACAAAATGATGCTGTCGTCCCTTAGCATATCTGCAGCGCCCCCAAAATGATAGTGCCTTCCCTTAACCGGCGCCGGGCTGAGTTTGTTTAAACCCCCCTCCCGACCCCTATAACTTGGCTACTTAGGCCACGTAGCGACACGCGGTAAGCGGTATTCGAAAGAGTGTCAAAAACTGCTTGGGTTAGTTGGTTAACCGTGCTTTGGTTAGGGCAAGTCAAATGTCAAATATCAGGTGACCAGAGGTCATCAAAGGTGAAATGTGGGTGAAATGTTGTCTGTTTCAACATTTATTGACAAACTGGCGCATAACTCGGGGAAGAATAGAACTACAGCACCGCGAAAAAGCGCATTCGATAGCTCTTCAACGTTCCTATGAAGTCTTCAGACTTGACCTAACATCAACGGCTTAACCTACAGAGCACAACTTGTTTAACCCGTGCCGGGCCGGGGAGGGTTGGAGGGGACAGTGGACCCCCTGCGCCCCTCTACTGAGCTGTTTTAATGAAGAACCTTTTACTGTAATAATTATTGACTCACGAAAGTTATGACATTGTTTTTTTCAGTACTGTGCTCCTCTCGTCGAGATGCGTCGAATGAACTATAATTTGACATTCAAACGTCATTTGGGAAATTTGAGCTCAGGTCCAGGTCATGACCTGGCTGGTAAAGGTCATGTTGCATATCAGTCGATTTGTATCGTCAAACTGAAATCATCTATGTAAGGTGTTTTCATCGCTCAGGCATGTCGCATGTCTCTATCAGAAGTTATTGGAAAAACTGCTGGAGGCCTACCATGACCTGACATGACCTCAAGGACATAACGAGGGGTCGTGGGTGGCAATTTTCCGATTAAGTGTGTCATTTTTAATTGTTTTCTGATGTTTAAATTCGTTAATTTTGACATTTGTCTACCTATAAAAAGAGGCACATGCCCTGATTTTCTCCCATTTCCTTTTACCTAATGGAAGGGTCGCAAAATTGTCCTTACATTTGGTCAGAGACATCGCAATTTCGAGACTTACATTTAACCCTCGCCGGTTGATGCAACCCCCCTAAGGTTTATCGCGAATAACTCGCGTAAAAAGCGGCCGATCGCAACGAAACTTTCAGTACCCTCGAATTGATCAATTTTACACCTACCCTGCAAATTGATGACCCTGACTTCAATGACCTTTCACCTGTGACCTCTTTTCCGTGACCATGTTTGGCCGAAATCAAGATTCGGCGTATGTCGGCTCGCATTAACCGCGCGTTTGCAAGCTTTTCGTGGTTTCAAACGTTCAAACATGTGATTTGATGTTGCTCCCATGCATTAGGGTGGGTGTCAAGGTCACCTGAAGGTCAGGTCAGGTCATTGACCTTTGGTGACCTCGGTTCACTTTTTCGAGTTTTACATGTTTCTAGGCTAGTTTTTGGAGCTGAATTCGAATTTAGCAACCATTTAAATATTTCCGAAGTAGTTTTGGTGCCTTCGTAACATGTTACGAAGCTGTCAGAGGCGGATGACAGGTACTACGAATACCCGGTACGACCCCTACCGGTTGACCTGACCTGACCTGACCTGACCTGACCTGACCCGACCTGGTCTAAACGCTTAACGACATCATCTGTGATCAAAACTAACACGATATTTGTGATCAGCACCACGGAAAACCCCTTAGCAGCCACAATTTACGACTTTCAAACAGGTCCCGATATTCCCGATTTTTGGGTCATTGACCTGACCTGGAAGGTCAACCGATGACCTAGGACCTTGAAATTGGGTATCATTGGCTTCCTCTCGTGACGGGCAACACGCTCGTTTTTTTCTGCGAAGCTCTAGCTCCATCAGGGGCCAAACGAGGGGGGGTCGTACCAACCAACCTTGTGCCGTCGAAGGACTCAAAATGGCCTGTGCCGGCGAGGGTTATATATACAGTTACACACTGTTTGTCTTATCAATCGCTGAAGTTATAAAGGGATCGTTCAGTCGGTATATCTATGGTGAGCATTTGCCTGTTCCGTGGCTCAGTTGGTAGAGCACCGGACTCCCCGCATTGTCTTCGCTTGCGTTTTGTCCGCCGGCCGAGCCGGAGAGAAAGTTACCGAGTGAAGGTCATTCAAAGTTCAAAAACTCAATGACAATGTCACAGGGGTCACGAAAATGTTTGAGTAGGTAGGTATAACATTCATTAACCTGGGGGGGGGGGGAGGGATGAACGTATCGTTGCAATACGCTGTTCATTACGCGAGTAACTAATAAATAAAAAATGTATGAGTTAACCCGGCGGCCGCTGGGCCTCCGCGCCACCCGCCAGCCGCTGGGGGGGGGGGGGCATATAGTTGCCCCCCCTTTACTTTTCCGACGATATCGTCGCAACGCGAAGAGATAGAGAAACGAAACTTTGCACACGTATTCCTGAATACCTAGCCGAGGTTGTGTCCAAATTTGGTGTCGGTCCCATTTGAAATGACGTCACAGTGACGTCAGAAGCCCAATCGTAGATTGGCGTCCCTTAGTTTCCTCACGATATATCCGACATATGAGACCGAGAATATAGGACCGATAACTGGTCAGGATATAGTTAACAGTGTACTTAGACGTGTCAGAATGACAGCAGGTGCTGTTTGCTTCATTTACCGCCGCGTTTCATGCTCAGCGACATCGGAAACGCTCCGTATTGGAAAACGACAAAACTTTATGACGTCACCGTGACGTCATCTTAAGAGCTACAACCACCAAACTTTCCTCAAATATGCGCTAGGTATTCATTTGAAGCTATGCCAAGTTTCAGCTTCGTATCTTATCCGGTTTCGGAGATATTACACCAAACGTAAAGGGGGGCAACTTTATGCCCCCCCCCCAGCGGCTCGTGGGTTAATCCTTACTCCACACGCTCTCCCTCTCCATAAAAAAGAGAGTTAATTGTGTTGCATTTTATCTATATGCAGAAAAATAGAGGCGTCAAAGGAT